TCTTCCTATAAATACCCTACTGCCTTCAACCCTCAAACTAACAAAAGAAAAGTTTAAACAAGTTTTTAAAGAGTGTTTAAGTATGTTTAAGTTTGGTTTAAAGCTTGTTTGGTTTGTGAAGAAGTTTTCACAAGTGGAGGAGATCATCTACATTTGTTTGGGCTTCATTTTAATCCATCTCTCCATCTTGTTTTCAGAGAAGAATTTCTAAACTCAATACTAGCTTTATATTAATTATTTGTTGTTTATCATTTTCATCAAGCTAGGGTTTACATTGAGTTTATGATTGATTTTCTCATTGCTTACACACACAACCATTGAGCTTATTGTATTTGCATACATTGTATAATTGGATTGTGGAGAGTTGTAACAATTGAGAGTGAGCTTAATTGAGTTCTCATCTATTATAGAGAATAACTTATTTGTTATGAACTTTAACTATGAGATTCACTTTGTATTACACTAGTATACCGAGAGGAGTGTGTGGTGAGAGACTGAGTCGCTTCCTAGAGGAGTGGTGTCGGTTAACGAACCTAGGGAGATGTTGTATCCGAGCACTTAAGGAAGGACACGGGCTAGAGACCAACACTTAGAGGGTGTAGAGTGTAGTTACATTGTGAGATTGTGAATGTTGATCGGTGAGCGTTAAAAACCGATATTGTGTGGTGTAAACGTTATTCGGGTGAGCGTAGAAAACCCGGTTGTGATAGTGGATTTCTCCCCGGGAGTGGGGAGCGGAGACGTAGGACGGCAGGTCCGAACTCCGTGATCATATTTTGTGTTTGCATTGTTTATATTTCTCTATCACATTTGTATCTTATTTATTTTGTTTACCCTTGTGTATATTACTTATCCTAGCTTACATATCTTGTTGTATTTCATACTTGCTAGGATAACTTGTTAGTTAGTTTTAATTGACATAAAATCAGATTAGATTAGCATAAGACCCTAATCACCCCCTCTAGGATCTAACAGTAATCAATTAGCAATTAGAGTAAAAGATGACTTATGAGAATTGAGAATAAAATTGCGATGTACAACAATTTCATGGAGCAAGCGCGTGCAACACATGTGCTGTCCTTACTCGTTCTATATAAATAAAGGAATAATCTATCAAAGGACCATGCTACTATACCAACAATTTTAAGTTGTAGTTAGAGTTGAGGGTTATACATTTTATAACTTAACATGTGTTTGCATATTGAAAGTCCTTTTATAGACAGAAATCCAACAGTGCCATAGTTTTTAAAAATCCATATTAAATTTGTGGTTAGTGGAATTCAAATTCGAATTGCTCTGATGTCATGTCAAAGATTCCTGCACTTTTAATAAAATTCTGAATTTGTAACGAGGGTTAATGGTTATAATTTTATAGTCTAACTAACATTAGAAGATGTTTGGTTGGCAATTAAATCGAGGAAAACTATTAGGGCTCGTTTGGTACGCGGGAATGAGTGGGAATGGAATTCATTTCCAACTCTTTTTTCCCGCGTACCAAATACGATGTACTTTTAGATGTTAGAATTAAAATTCCCACTTCTTATCAATTCCCACTTTATGTGGGAATTGTCATTCCCAACCATTTAACAAGGAATTGATATTCCCACTTAAGTGGGAATAAAAATAATCAAATGATTTCCAATTATACCCTTCTTAAAAGATACAATTAGATATAAATTCCTATATGAAAATTATTTTTATATAAAATATCTTATCTTAAGCTACTAGTACAAATATATAAATAAATATAAGCATGAATATAACATGCCCAAGTTCCAATTTACAAACATGGTTCCTAAGTAAATTTTATCACTGACCTTACCATAGTTCCAATATCTTGTGATATTATTTTTTAATAAATTTCTGATATCGTCCCTAAGAAGTATATTAACGCCGACATGTAGCATTAGAAGTTAGAAAAGTAAAATTATAATTATTTATAATTAAAAATAATTTCTATAAAAAATATTTTTCAATTTGTAAGCCAAAAGTCCAAAATTGTTGCCAAGATGTTGTGACAAAATATAACTATTACATAAAAATTTATTTCTCTAAGGAAAAAAATCATTTCTATAAAACTTATTTTTCTAAAAAAATGAATTATTTAGTTATTTTTAAAATATTTTTAACATTTTTAAAATTCTGTGTTTTGGTAAGGGCATTATTAGAAAACTAAATTTTATTCTCACTTGTGAACAAATGATAACAAACGAGGGAATGAGAATAAGATTGTCATTCCTGTTCCACTCTCTAAACGCGCCCAAACATGAGAATGAGAATGTGCATTCCATTCCCACATCTATTTCATTCCATTCTTACATTCCTTCCATTCTCACTTGACTCCATTCCCGCGTACCAAACGAGGCGTTATAGGAAAATACATTTCCTATAATTGTTTCTTTTCTTTTGTTTGATTCACATCTTGAAATCAAGAAAAGAAATGATGTGACGCATTCTTATTGACTGATGTGGCCCAAAGTTTAAAAAGCCCATTTCATGGGTTTTGTTGAGAAAATTAGTGGAAGTCATCAAAAGTGACTTCCTCCTCTTGTTTCTTTTCTTTGGCTTTCAAGAAACCAATCAATTAGGCCCTTGTCTAATTTGAAGAGCTTAGAGCGCGCTTGGGAGTTTATTAGGAAAAGGGAAGAACGAAACGATAAAATAGGGAAAAGAAGTAGAGCCAAAAGAGGAAAGACGAATGGCTATGTTGGGGAGTTTAGCGAAGGAAATGTCGGAAAACTTTTTTTTATCATATTTGTGAGTTTTTACTAAGGGAAGTGAATGGAAAGGAAATGTATTATCATAATCAAATCTCAATCATTGATCCATAGTAATATAGGGTCAAATATCTTTAATGACTATTTCCCCTCGCTTTCCCTCTTCTGCACCTTGTTTTGGGGATTGAATAAGATAACTAGCTTCTTATGTGAATTTTCCCTTCACTCCCTTTTATTACCCTTCTCAAAGAAACTCCCAAATAAAGTGAACTCTCAAATTCTATTCCCCTGCCCTCTTCGGCCATCCATCCAAACACAAAGTAAAGGTTGAAGACCACATTTGTTTTTTTATCTCCAGACTATAGGTATTATATTCCTCGACTATAGCACTCAGACTATATTATCTTGGTACTATTTTAATCTAATTCAATGTTTGTTTTCCCATATAATAACAATTGAACTAATTTAAGATGGTACATATTGTGTTTGTTTTTAGGGGGATTATGACTGTTCAGACTAATATTATTACTAAAATGACTTTTTGTCTATAGATTAACTAATATTGTATCAATGCATTTGTTTTGTAAACAAAAATTCAAAAGGTGATGATTTTTTCAATAAAAATTATGTCAGCTATTAGACTTCCAACATACACTTCAAAACTTTGTTAATTAAGAAACATATGAAGAGAAAAAGTACACGCCTCGCTTTTTGAAGGATGTTTTGGTCTCATGATATGAAAATGTTGCAAGATTTAGAATAGGAGATAACATTCTCTTCAATAAAATAAATCTCCTCAATTAAATTAACTAACACTGTAATCTAGTCGGTAAGAAATATGACATCTAAGCTTGAGTCACCAGTTAAAGAGCGGGGCTAGGATGAAAAGCTTCGGAATATGCAATTGCATCCTCGAGACATCCTCAATAAATAAATTATAAAAAGAGAGAGATGTTGTATCTTTAATTCATTTCATAAAGAAAATATGTGAACAGAGCAATGATCTTTCTTCGTTCTCTATGCAATATAAACAAAAAAACGCTAAAATAAAATCGTCAACAATTTTTGTTGCGCAAAAGAAATTCAGCAAAAATAATTTGTTGGACTCAGAAAAAGAATCAGAGAATTAGTGGGGCATGAACCTTTTTTGTCAAAAAAAAAAAAAAAAAAAAATCTTAACCCTCCCAAGGATTAATGTCTGGATTGCAAAGGTGGATGAAGGGTTTGGGCTTAGTTTAGTCCATCTATTGAGTTTTAATTGATTCTTACTTAAAAATAGTCTGGTCAGATTAAAAAACAAACACAGGTTAAAGAAGCGAGAGCCGACTATTTTTAAATAGGGTTAATTTTAGAAAACTCTCTCAACTATAGGTTTTGTCTCGGAAAATCTCTCTTAACTATTTTATCTTTAGAAAACCACCCTCAAATTTGAGAGTGTGGTAGATAACTCCCTCAGCTTTCAAAATATGACTAAACCCCCTCAGCTTTCAAAATATGACTAAACCCCCTAACTATGAGGTGTATTACACAACCCCCTTTATCTTTCTAGTTTTTTCAAATAAACCCCCTAATATTCTTAATTTGAAATATGCAATGACTACAATACCATTGATTGAAAAAAAATCATATGAGTTTAAAAACTCAACCCAATCGAAATACTAGACTTCGATTCGATAAGCTCTGATGATAAAACTAAACTTAAAAAAAAAGTTTCAATTGTCTCATATATTTCCGGTATTGATAAGTAGAAAATAAAAGAAGTTTAGTGTTTCAAATAAAAAAGAAAAAAAATTAGATTTGCATATAAACATAACAATGAAGATGGAGGAATAAGAAGAGGGGGAGATAAAATGAAAGTTATATTTAACCAAAAAAGTTAAAAAGTAAGAATATGGTAAAAAAATTTAATATCTTATAAGAGATGGTATGGTCATTCTAAATCATTTGTTCTTTTAGATTTAAATTATATTAGTTTAGGGGGTTAAGTGAGATAGTTGAGGGAGAAAAATAATATTTTGAAAGTTGAGAGATTATTATCTACAATAACTCGAAGTTTTCTAGAGTTCAAATAGTTGAAAGAGTTTTATGTGATAACCCCATAGCTAGGGAGTTTTGTAAAATTAACCCTTTAAAATACTAACCTCCCTTTTAAAAAACAAACACGGCCCAAGTCATTCGGACCTTCTAGTCGAGTTACGTGGAACATATTTTTTATTAATAATTTTGATATTCAGTAAATTAAAGAAATTAAGTTCTATAATATGCGTTTTCCCCACTGAATTCTTTTTCCAGCACAGTAAAATAGTTGGTTGTAAACGGTGCTTCTCGTCCGTGCCCTAAAATTGAAGATGAGCTTGGCTCGACTCTGAGAAAGACGAGCTTCGGATTCTTGGATCGAGATTCGAGATCATGGCGAGAATTTGATGAGCTTGCCTTTTGATTCTCGGATCAAGATCGTCCGAACGTCGGCGTTGAAGAATCTGCTGAGAGTCGTACTGCAGTCATCAAGTACGCATACTCTTCTTCGTTTCTAGTCAAATAATTTAGATCTCGTACTAGGGTTTCTTGGGTTCTTGGTCCGGAATTTTGATGCCAATCTGAAATCGATGTTGAATTTCTTGCTGTTTCGTTTTGAGTTCTAGTCAAATCTTTCAGGGAGTCTTGTGCTCCGCGGCCAATTCTATTTTCATTTGTTTTAGTAATGATCACTCAGTTTGATTCAGTATAAGCGAACATTTAAAAAAAAATGTACTTCTCATCGGAAAAGAGGATGATCACCTTTATGCATACACATTGCAGAATATCTATGGAAAGTAGTCCAAAAGGAAAATTCTAATAAGAAAAGAAACCATACCATGAGGTAGGTCCTAAAGAAACCAACCGCGGATAGCGCGGTCTGGGGACGCAGTGGTAATGCTGCCAACATACCCAGGTACCTGGTTCGATCCCGTCTGCCTAGCTTGGAGTGTGGGATTTGAAGGTGGGACCTGGGGCTTACCCGATAGGGGTTGGGGGTTGATTTCGGGCTTCGGCTTGGGGATCCCCGTTCATTTCCGAAGAGGAAAAGACTATACTTTACATCTCCCTCAATCTCACTGTTTACTTCTTTTCTCTCCATCTTCTTCATACATTTCTAACATCTTGTGTGTAAGCAGAGGTTGGAATTGCTCTTTAGTATCTGGGGAGGTGGTTCAGTCCCATATTTCAATATGCTGGCAGGCAAAAAATTGATCCTAAGACTGCCAAAGGCAATGATGTATATCTTTTTCTCATTTTAAGGAGCTCAACCAGCTACCTGAGAATTGTGTGGTATCCCTTTGTGCAAGGGGATGCAATTAATTGTTTATGTTTATAATGTACATTGGTTTGATGATGCATAAACATAGTTTTGATCCATGTTAGCACAAAAATAATGTATATGAATGCCACTGGGTTGTGGCAATGTAACTTGTTTTCTATTGATTTTGTAAGAAAAGATGTATGTCAGAGATTCCTGTACATGCACATAAAAGAAGATTTCTATTTACAGAAAACGACAAGTCTTTTTTAGGATATTATGTGTAATCAAGTAGTAATGTATAAGAATGACTCGCCAAACGGAGAACTCGATGGTTTGGGTTTTAGTATAAATATTTATAAATCAAGGATTCTGTGTTTGCTTGAGCCATCTCACTTCTTGAACTGTGCAACCGTTTGGAAGAGCTGTGAATATAGTCGCAAATCTTGTAGATTTATGCTATCAATTTCCAGCAAAGAAAATGAGATTTGAATTGAATCTTATGAGCACTTAACTTTATCTAATTAATGTTAGTTATTAACTCTATAAACTAGCAATAAATCCTTGATCATGTTATATTCTTTTCCTATCAGGTCATTGTTAAATTATTGTGATCCTGTTAAGAGTATAAATGTTATCTCATTGCACAAATATGCAATTTGATTAAGATTATTACATTATACAGCTTATGCCTCCCGTTTCTGATGAGAAAACTGTCCTTAATACATATCCTAACTTGTAGGTTTTGCTTTTTCTTTTGTTGTGCATTTCCCTGACGAGGAATCTGGTGGTGTTTTTTTTCCTTGCAGATACCAATGCAAGTATTATATTCTTATAGATTGAAAATGGCGAACTGCAATAAGCCTTGCATGCTTAATTCTAAATTTTCTGTGATCAATGACTAAAACCATCTTGGTGCGTGTATGTCTTATTGGATTGTTGGAGTTCAGAAACATTCCTAGAGTGTGTGGATATGGCTTCCCCAATCCCCAGCAGCAGCAGCAATGAGAAAAGAAGTATTTTAAGACGGAGTCCCAGACATCAGACTCATGAGCTGAATGCCGGAACCACAGAACATGGGTCTAAAAAGGTCGGATTTGCTGGTTTTGAAAATATAAGCAATGAGAAAACAAGTAATTTAAGACGAAGTCCCAGAAAGCAGACTCATGTGCCACATTCTGGAACCACAGAAAATGAAGCTAAAAAGGTTGGGTTTGCTGGTCTTCAAAATGTAAGCAACGAGAAAAGAAGTAATTTAAGACAGAGTCCCAGACATCAGACTCATGAGCAGAACTCTGGAACCACAGAAAATGGATCTGAAGAGGTTGGGTTTGTTGGTTTTCAAAATATAAGCAACGAGAAGAGAAGTATATTAAGACGGAGTCCAAGACATCAGACTCGTGAGTTGAATTCCGGAACCACAGAAAATGGATCTAAAAAGGTTGAGTTTGCTGGTGTTCATAGTATCAACAATGAGAAGAGAAGAATTTTAAGACAAAGTCCCAGAAACCAGACTCATGAGTTGAACTATGGAACCATGGAAAATGGATCTAAAAAGGTCAATTTTGCTGGTTTTGAAAGTATAAGCAATGAGAAAAAAAGCTTTTTAAGACGAAGTCCCAGACATCAGAGTCATGAGCTGGATTCTGAAACCACAGAAAATGAATCTAAAAGTATAAACAAACCAGCAGATCATGGCGAACATGTTTTGCCAAAATTGGGAAAGGTAGACAGGAACAATGATTTAGCAAAGAGTTCCAGCAAATCTCCATGTGAGCAAAATAGAGATTCTTCTGAAGTGAAAGGCAGAAGATATCCCTTGAGGACTTCATTAGGCACTGCCAGAATTACTCAGTCAATATCAAAAACTGAGAACCAGCATGAGTTGGTTCCTAAACCACTCAATCTACTTAGAAGAAGAAGAAGAAGAAGAAGGAAGAAGGGAGATAAAGTAAAGAAAGCTTCAAAAGATGAATTTTTTGTGATCATGAAACGAGTAAGATACTTGTTGACACGAATGAACTATGAGCAGAATCTGATTGATGCGTATTCTGGCGAAGGGTGGAAAGGCCAAAGGTTTGAGTCCCCTTGAGCACCATTTAATATTTTTTTGTTTTTGGGGAAAATATCGTAGTGGTTTTATGCGTTTGGTTTCTTAATTTAGCTGATTGTTTTCATTAACCTGAAGGGGTTGTATGCCATAAACTACCATAAACTAGCCCAATTTATGTACTTCTGGGCCTGCTAACTGCTCTTCTGTCACTTATTGGCATTAGGTAATTTGATGAAGAGAACCATCTTTTCTATTATACTTATGAACATGGGAATTTTGGATGTAAAATCAAATTGATGTAAGGCATGATCTTATCAAATCTCAAATTGTTTTTGTTCTTTGTTCTTGAGCTCCATTAAAGTCCTTTTAGCACCTGGATCACCAAACTGAATCTACTGCTTATCCCTTTGCAGCCCCATCTTCATTAGAATTGAACCTTAAAGGACCTTTTCCGTTAGACTGAACTATTTCTGATATAAAAAATAAAATCTATAGTTGACATTATATTCCAAAAAATACCCCTAACCCTGATTTCCAAAATTTTTAAAATCAGGTGTAGGGGGTATTTTGCAAGATCAAATACTTATTTGAAATAAAACCCTAAAATCCACCCCTATAGTTACAGACAGCTTTTGAAAAATTTGTAGCAGACTTGTTATCATGGTTTTAAATGTCGGCCGACATGTCGGATCAGAGGCTGGAGCGACACAGATATGGCCATTTACTGTCGGATGTCGGACATATCCCCGATTTTCACTATCCGACATGAATTTTGCTGTCCGACATGAACCCAACATCCGTCAATTAGCTGTCAGAGGCTGGAGCTGACATTTAAAATTCAAGTCAGCCGTTATGGTTTTTTTAGGGAATTCGTCAAAGCAACCCTCTGTCGTTCCTAAAAAACATCCACTTTCTTAAGAATTCTCAAACACAAAATCATCCATAATTTTCTCCCAAATCTCTAGAAGCTGTAGATCAGATCTGAACAAGAGAACAGCGTTGCAAGGTTTGCACTTTATCTTTCTTTCACTACGGCCATAGCTGAATTGGTATTTAGATTGATGTATTAAGCATCCAACTTCCTCCGTATTCACTATCATCTTGCATGAACACCAAATTGAATATTTTGAATTCTAAGGCAACCTATGATTTCTATGTTAGTTTACAACAAACCAAATTGTCTCATAATTCTGTGGTTTGAATCTTTACTTTACATATAGTTCGTGTTAATCATATTGCTTAGGATCATTTTGGATTGGTTTACACATCATATTCTTGAAGTGTGGAGCTTTTAGGGTCCCTTTGCTACATCCTAGGATACATCAACATTAATTTACCTCCTATCCTGTAGGATTGTGAATTTTGATTACATTTCATCCACTGATGTGTTTGTTTCTTGCATTCTGTCTTGGTGTTTTCTTTTTATTGTAACACAGCTTAGGTTTGGGTTCATGCTGTAAGACAGTATGGGGACCTTTTGAAAAGTTACATTTGAACCTTCATGTGAAATAATAGGAGCCAGATTTGCACAAGAACTACCTCTTCTGATCATAGAATTTTCAGGAATCAGGATGTTGGGGAAGATAATAAACCTGCTTGTAGGAAGGAGTGGACAGCAGTGATCATGGGGATGCATGCGGGAATCTTTCCACAGAAAGATCATGGGTGCCCATTCAAGCATTGATAGACAGACGTTCTAATTAATGATTGCCTATATCACGAGGAAGAGCTGCAGATTTTGAGCTTGATTACTATGGTCATAGGAAGCATAATGTTAACCATTGAGAGGATGACATCACTAAGAGAGTCAAAGTAGAAGTCTTTTCCTTAGAGTGTACACTACATCCACAGTCCTTTAGTTACTCCTGTCCTGATGTGAATTTTTTTTTGGGTTTGTTTGTAGGCGGTTGGTGGGTGTGTGTGCGTGCGCGAGGGCGCTCGTGCGTGCACGCTGGGGTGGGGTGGTGGTGATTATTCAGGGGCTTTCTATATTCAACATAGTTGATGGCTGGACTAATGGAGGGATTTGTAACAAGTTTATTATGTAACATTTATATCTTTTACTCTGATAGAAAAATAAGATGCATATGAAACTGTGACTTGTTCCTATTTTCAGTTTCATCTATACTACCCAGAGTTAAATCACGCGAAGAATCGGCAGGACTAATGGAGGGATTTGTAACAAGTTTATTATGTAACATTTATATCTTTTACTGTGATAGAGAAATAAGATGCATATGAAACTGTGACTTGTTCCTATGTTCAGTTTCATCTATACTACCCAGTGTTAAATCACGCGAAGAATCTATTATATTTTGGGCCACTGTAACAGTGTCGGTGTCTTTGATTGAAAGTTACACGTTACCTTAGAAAGTTTTGAATCTGCGAAACCTTTTAAATTCAAGATACTTGTTCAGGTCTGTTGTGTTTCCTTACATTATGCCAAGTTACATGGATACAGATACGGGTGCGGGTACGGGTACTGGACATGGAAAATTTGTAAAAGTTAGGCACGGGGACACCGCTACACGTATGTGTAAATATAATAATAATAATAATAATAATTTACATGAGATCAAAATTATTATTTCATTTCATGTGTCGGAAATAAAATTCATATAATATTTTATGCTTCTTATCTACAAAATTAGAAAATTGCTCATTTTTTAACTTGATATTCAAAAGACTCTTGATAATGATAGTTTTGAACTGGGTACATGCTGAAATGAACCCAACTCATGTCTGATGAGTTTCAAGATTTGCATGTGAAGTGAGCATATACGTGCAAGAAGTATATGGCGAGTGTTCTAAATTAATACATGTATAAATAATTGAGTGTACATTTGAATTAGTGTATGCAAATATCCAATAAGTGTCCACTAAAGTTTCAGTGTCGGGTACACTGGTACGACACGAGTATGACATGGGTATGGCTCCAAATAGAAGTACGCACGCAATGTAGTCATTATGTAAAAGTGTTCAACCAACCTATCTGATCATGATGGTTCCATAACAAGTAGTTCTGGACATTACATTATCTAATAAAATCTAGTGATCTCTGTTTTTCACTTAAAAATTTTGACACAGTCACATCCATTACAGTTAGCAAGGGTTCTGAGAGCGTTTAAAGAGTAAATACAAAAAGTCAACTCATAGTTTGTTTTTTTTCCTATTGTAATAATTTACAGGAGAAAGAAACTGTTCATAGAGCTAATATTTACTGGTATTGTGTTAAAATTTTATCTATGTCACACAGTTAAATGTTGTTTTTGCATGATGAAAATAACATCTTCATGCATATTACAATTGCATCTTGCGTCTTGCTATTTAAGGTTTCTATTACCGGTTACATGGCGTGTCCTCTTCAAAAGTTGTAGTTAATGAACTTTCTTCTTCTGCATCTGTACCTGAGTTGGAAAGCAGAATTATTTGAATATTATTACTGGCATCTGCTGCTTTCTTTTTATTTATATTTCTGTTTCCAACCTATCAGTGCAGATAAACTAAGACCTGAGAAGGAGCTTGAAAGAGCCAAATCTGAAATTGTGCGTCGTAAGTTTAAAATACGCGAACTGTTTCGGCACCTTGATTCTTTGTCTTCTGAAGGAAGGATCGAGGCATCTCTATTTGATTCTGAAGGGCAACTTAACAGTGAAGATGTGCGCAAACCCTTACCCTCACTAAAATAGTTCGAAACTTTTCTACTCTTTTTCTATTGTAGTACTATTCTATTAAGAGTTCTTTGGGGACGCTTCAACCATGAACTAATATGCAAACCATCTGCCTTATATCAGATTTTTTGCGCCACATGTGGTTCAAAAGACTTGTCTCCTGATAATGATATCATTCTTTGTGATGGACTTTGTGACAGAGGCTTTCATCAAAAGTGCTTAAATCCTCCTCTGTTGAGTGAAGATAGTAAAGTCAAAACTTCTAAAATTTTACGTTCTTTTGATGTTTCAGATAGAAGTTAGCCCTTCTCACGTATTTGATATTATGCTGATTGCTTTTTCCAGTTCCTCCAGGCGATGAAGGGTGGTTATGCCCAGCCTGTTGTTGCAAGATAGACTGCATTAAATTATTAAACGAGCTTCAAGGAAGTAATTTATCTATTAAGGATACATGGGAGGTAAGTAATAAGTGACAGTTGCTTTCCTTGTCCTCGCAGATTTTTTTGGTGTGGAATCCTTTGTTTTGTCCTTCTTCTTGCAATCCTTTATAGGGACCAGGAAATTCTAGCTGAAAGGATTTCATTATTTATGTGTGCAGAAAGTATTTCCTGAGGTAGTTGCCATGACCAATGAAGATAAAAAACGTGATGACTTGCCATCAAATGATTCAGAAGATTATGATTATGGCTCAGATGGTTCAGAAGTTGATTTTGAACGATCGGGCTCTACTTCCTCTGAGGATGATTCAGACGATGATGATTTTGATCCTAATGATTCAAATGTTGATAAAAGTGTTCCTAAATATGGATCAAGTTCAGATGAATCAAACTTTAAATCAGATTCTGCTAAGTTCTGTATTGAACTTAGAAAAACTTTACGTGCTAAGAAAGATTCTGCACCCTCTGTGCGGAACTTGAAGCCTATTGCCAACTCTGGTGAAGGAACATGCACAGTAGACATTTGTAACTCTGAGATTCCTTCTGTTCTGGAACCAGGATTGGACCAAGAGAATTTGCTAACATCAGGAAAAAGGAATCTCGAAAATTTTGAACTCAAACATTTGTCTGATGTAAGTTTTCCTTCCATAGATATGCTATATAGGTTTGCTATTGCTCACAGATCAGTGTAAGATTCTTGCTGATGCTCATTTTGATTTAGATATGCTATATAGGTTTGCTATTGCTCACAGATCAGTGTAAGATTCTTGCTGATGCTCATTTTGATTTTTCATCATCTTTTCTGATGCAAATTAATTCTTGGACAAACCTTAAAAGAAAACAGTACAAGTGTCATTGGTTAGGTTATTACTTTTAGGATAAGCATTAACCTTGCTTGACAATCTAGTGTTGCATAAATGAATTGTAGTTGACATCCTTGCCCTTTAGAGATCATATTTCCTGTAAATCTGAGCTTTCAAATCCTTCCTTTTCAACTTCCACTAATGCTTGCTGACCCTCTTCTTCTTCCTTTCAGTCCAAACCTGAGTCCTCGTCCAAGGTCCTAGTTATATTTTTCTCATGCATTCAGCTCTATATCTGTGTATATGTATGTGTATGTGCATGTCTATGTGTATATATATGTGTGTGTATGTGTATGTACATGTTTACACACTCTACATACATGATTTTATGACTTTTTTTTTCAGTCAATGTATAACATTTGAGAATTTTATAAAGATGGATATGCATGTGAAGTTCTCGCTTTGGCGTGAAATCAAAACCCTAACTCTATCTATTTTTCCTAGTTCTCGTTTCCTCTCTTTATTTCCCAAATTAAATTGACCAAACCCAGCCCTATCCTAATCCCTAGCTCCTGTACCTCCCTTTCTACCTTTATATTTCTTCGTCCCATGTAAAATGGTAGAATCGCTCCTAGTCCGTGTGTATCATAATAATAAATATGTATTACTCTTCCATCCAGTTTTGGTATTTGTGTGGATCATCTAAGACTTTAGGGTTTTAGATGGAGCAAAGAGGTGGGACAGCAGCAGGTGAGGGTGGCAGTTGGTTGGAGATTTAGGATTAGGCTAGGATTTGTTCATATGGAAATTTAAGAAATATAGGAGACGAGCTAGATAAGGATATTAGGATTAGGGTGTTGATTTCACATCAAAGACATGGACAACCATCTTGGTATTCTCATCGTTCAATTTCAACTTAAGCAAAGAGTCTCTCTCTCTCTCTCTCTCTCTCTCTCTCTACTCACCCACGCCCACACACACACACATATGTATAAAGTAGGAATTTAAGATAAGCTAAAGTAGAATCTGACCTGCATCATTTATGACCCTTTATATTGACAGTTTTTTTAAAGAAGTGTGTCAACTGTAGAGTTGTATGTCTCATTTTTAGCTTCGGTAAGTAGTTTTGTTGCTCTGAACTGACCTTTATTGCTCCAGTTATGGATGTTTTCTTGCAGCTGCACACAAGAATTCAAATTTCAGCGACTCTTTCCTTTTGTTCATCTTTTATGCCCATTTCACTGAGCTAGTCTACCTTCTTAAGCTGTTCTAGCTCATATCTCTTTACTAGTTACTTCGTAGCTCGCTGCATAAATGCTCAATTGATGGTACATCTGACTGAGTTCAAAGCTTTTTGCTGGGCAACTTATCATAGTGATCAACATATCATGAAACCGAGTTAAATGTCTTAACAAAAAAGTTCCATTTTATGAGCAGTTACATGAACTTTTTGTTGGAGAAGTATCATGTTGACGCTCACTGTCAGCAGTCCATTAGTTTAAACAAATAAGTAGCTTCCTCCAGGTTTTTTATTTTCGTTTTCCTGATTCTACGATCTTACCAGATACATATAGTCGACCATGCTATTAGCATTTACGTGCCAAGCTCCAGAGAGAGGTTTTGTTATTAACTTCATATGTTTTTTAAAAGGTGAAGTTGTGTTTTCGAGAAGGTAGAGATCTAAATTAGTCAGGATAATGTTCATTAAACTTCTTTATTACTTTTGAGTAGTTTAGATTCTTGAAGGCAGTTTTGGGAAATTGTTTTAACATAAAGATCAAGAACTGATTGTTTTTTCATAATTTGGCTGATTAGATGATGTTTGAATGATTATCTGAATTATTCTTTCACTTACCCACTGCTCTAAAAGGGGAGTCACTCTTTGTAGAAATGACTTTGATAGGCTTTCACTGCAGTGCTTGTGGTTTAATTCTGCCACCCTCAAAAGAAAAATTTATGCACCAATTTGGTCTCTTTCGTACATACTTTTCAGAATGTTATGCTAGAAACGTCAGAACGAAAGAAATTTTTTGGGTAATATGAGGTTTGTTCATTGTAGCATGACTAACGTTTGTTTTAATTCGAGGAGATAAAAAAACAGCAATCTTCTTGTGACTCCTCTCTGTTATTCTAGTACTTATGCATGTAACTAGATAGCCCTAGGGCATCTATACAGTGCAGTTAATTGCATATTGCTTTATTTATTTATTTATTTCTCATGTTATCACTTCCTCCTGGGGAATTCTCTATAAACCTATCATTTGGGTTGTTTTTTTCATAACTGAACACCTATATTTGTATGGACTTCCCATGTTCATGTTATAACAGCACTGTGTATATAAATTTTGTTTTCTCCATAGACAACACATAAAAATAAATAATTTCATTTGTATTGTAGGAAACATATGAAACATCTCCTTCAGATTCAAGTGAAGATGAAAACTGGTCTGAATCAGCTGATATAAATATGCCAAACAGAAGAAAGAAATATGCAAATAGGAAGGAGCCTTATGGACCATCAAACGCAAATACTAGAACTGTTAAGAGCTACAAAAATTCGAAAAATGTTGTAGGCATGCCTACTGAGGTTGACATGGTAAGAAAATCACTTATAAATCTTCCACAGGTTTCACATGTTCATGAAACTACTCCCAGCAAAACATATCCTGCACTGGACGCAAGTGCTATGGAGCATGTAGAGCACCATGGTTGTTCGGAGCCTGGTTCTATCGAGTTTTCTGTATCTACATCTAAAAGCTTTAGTGAAGCAGCTAGAAAGGTATGATTTGAGCATAAATGTATGTTCATTATGTTTTTCATCATCTTCATGATGTCCTGTTAAAGTTGGGTCTTCTTTGGAGAATGATTTGAGTGGGAAAATCTCTACCAGCAATTGACCCATTTTTTGCGACCCCGTACATGACTTAGATCCTCCATTACTTTGTGCAAAATTTTTAACCAAGGTAAATATGAGCAAGAAAGGGTGATATCATAGTATCCTACTATCTACTAGGTAGAACCCATACCTCATCGTACTGCATTTTTAAGATTTCCCAATACCTACTATCTACTAGGTAGAACCCATACCTCATCGTACTGCATTTTTAAGATTTCCCAATACCTATGTCTTCTCTCTCTTCACTTTTTTTTTCTTTCATTAATCCATGAACTCATGAAAACCTCTCACTATAAATCATTGTCTCTTGCACCACTCATCACCTCCACCTCCTGTTGGATTTGTGGTGGGGAAGCATGAACTCATGAACCCCTATGCCTCGACCTCCCTTTAGATCGCACCGCTGCCCCCACTGTAGTGGGAGGCAACATGACAGTGGTGGGGTGTGGATGGGTTCATGGGTTCATGAGTTTTAAGCATAAAGATATCAATTAAACCTAAAGGTAACAATTTTCAAACGAAAGGTAATACTTGTTATATAAGGGAAAAAAGTAACAAACATACAAGTAAAACTAAAAATATAAGTAAAACTAAATAAAAGTAATGTAATGTTGGCTCATGGGTTGAGTGTTAGGATTGTTCCTTTGATTCTTTGTATAACTTCATGAGAATTAGATAGAGTCAGAGATCTATTATGATTAGGAGATTGTGTCTTATCATAATTAGTAGTTTGTATCCTATTCTAATTAGGAAGTTTGGTTAGGGATAGAGTTTTGATTTTCCTATATATATTCTTCTATTATTGGAGGAAAAAAGGAGAGGAGAGAGCCAATATTCTTGTAATATAGGGTTATCAAAGGGCGTAGCCTGATTCAAGAATATTGTGCAAGAGGCGAGGATTTCGTGGTCTTTATCCGTGTAAAATATTACAATATTAGGAGAGGGTTTCACAGTCTTTGTCCATTCAAAAGATTGTAAGAAGTGAGTTTTGGAGAGAATACGAGAGTTGATTATGTAAGTGAGATTGAGAGACGAGAGTGATTGGTTCCTCTTGTAGTTCTCCCTGATACATAGTGAATTTTTCGTATTGTTGCTCTGTGGATGTAAGTCGAAGTTGGTCAACCAAACCACGTAAATCTTGGTGTTTTTTCTTCTTAATTGTGGTCGTTTTCTATCTAATTGATTGTGGGTTGGCTTTCAAGTTGCGGAGTACGTGGGGAGACTAAAATTTTTCAACAAGTGGTATCAGAACGATGATGATGAATTGGGAGTTAGTTTACAAGATAGAGGTCGAAGATTGGCGTTAAAAGAATCAAGATGAAGAAAAAAAAGAAAAAAAAAGAAAAATATCTTTAGTGGCGGAGGTTCAGCGGAGACGTCCGAAGATAGGTCGGAGGTGACGAGCTGGTGGTCAAGGATGGCAGGCATAAGCGTTGTCGACATAGGCGTGGCCAGTGAGGAAATCCGTCGAACGGTGCTGGAGCAGCAATGAGATGGTGGCTAGCTGGTAGCGCGTCAGCAGTGGCAAGTTGCAAGAACAGCGACAGAATTTGTTAGATCGGTGGTGTTTGTCGGTGGTTTTTCTCAGTGAGATGGCGTGCACTAGTTTTGATTGCAGAAACACATGAGACAAGGCACGTGAGGGGACTTGAGTTAGGTGGGTCTACGTGAAGGAATTTTTAGGATGGTCACGTGAACATGAATCCAAGTGGGAATAGGATTCATGTGAGGATTCGATGTATGGCTGAAATTAGAGTTTGGTGTATGGATTTATTTTTAAATTCAGATCAACGGCTAAGGTTGATTATTGTGTAGATCAGCGAATCGAAGGCGGAACACGACGATCCTGGAGTTGATTTCTAGATTTTGGAGTGCTGTAAACACGATGGAAGAGTTTAATTTTTCAGATTATGCTCAAATTAGCCAGAAGATAGAGGAAAGCAAGGTTTTAAATGTCGCATTCGGGTTCATGTCGGACGATAGAAATCCATATCGGATAGCGAAAGTCGGGGATATATCGGGAGACATGGACTAAATATCTGATTGCCATATCGGATAGTGCGCATATGTATAATATCATGTCCTAAATGTAATCTAAGCATTCTTAAATTCAATATAAACATACTTTATAAATTCTAGAGGCAGCGTCGGTGATGGGTGGATTCCGACGTCGTAGGGAGGCAGTACCGACGACGAGACCTCACAAGGAGGCAGTGCCGGGGCTCTTCTTCTTCGTCTGCTCAGGATCCTTCGGATGAGTCACCGACCACCCTCTTCCTTTTATCCCGGCGACGGGATACCCTGCTGTCCTCGGGTTCGGTTGGGGTTCAGATTTCGGGGCGTAACAAGAGATGGATGACGGAAGTCCAAGATGGAGGTGAGGAAGGGTGTCGTCCACGAAAGGAGTGATCGGTTTTCAAGTTCGCTGTAGCCCTAAATTTTCTCTTTTCTTTCTATCAGGTTCATAAGAAACCCTTAAACATGAGAATGGGTCAAATAGGTTTGGGTTTTTATCACTAAACCAAACCCGATAACAAAAAACAGATCTAAAAAAAGTCAATATCATCCGATTTTTCAAGGCTAAAAAATCAGCCGATATGCCTGATATGGTCCCGATATTTTTGATTTGGCCCTGAAAACCAACATACGAGTTGAGAACGTCCATGTCGTGTCGCTCAAGCCCTCAAACCGACATGTCGACCGACACGTTGGACATGTCGACTGACATTTAAAACCTTGGAGGAAAGTTCTAATGGTGGTGACGAGACAAATCTGATGACAGATAATGTGAATCACGGGTGAGACTGGTATAGAGAACTAGACATGGTTCTAGTAGTAGAGTTGTTAGCATGCAATCATTCAGGATCATTGCAAGAGCAGAAGTTGGTTGGTGTGTAGCCTCAATGAGGATAATGCAAGTGGGCACTGTCGAGTGACACACATGCTGATGGGGATGGTGACATTAGACTTGTAGAGGTGTAGGAGAATGAGTGTTCATATTCTGTCCAAGCCAAATAATGGAGGAGATGAAAGCATCCGACGACTCGTAGTGTGGAGTAGGAAAGGTGCACCGATATAGTTTGAGACGAGCGATGCAGGTGGAGCAGAAAGACAACAATCAAGGAGAGGCTATTGTCAGCCTGAAGTTTGGAGGACAAGCATGGTTGATTTGATTCTAATGTTAGAGGTGACGAAGATCTCTTGATGCGTACAAATGAGGTGGAAGCACCACAACGAGGTAGATGAAAGTGAGGGTCATGGGGGGCATCCAGGTTGGAGTATGTGTTCCAATTAGGAGTGCAAATGATTTTGATTGAAGTACAAAAGAAGCAGAAGACGGTAATAGGAGATGCAAGGTTTCAATATGGTAATGGTAGATCTTCTAGGTGGCTTGGGAATCAAATCCAAGGTGAAGATTATTAGGATTGTGTCTTTAATTCTTTGCATAACTTTATGAGAATTAGATAGGATTAGAGATCTATCATGATTAAGAAATTGAGTCTCATCATGATTAGAAGTTTGTATCCTATTCTAATTAGGAAGTTTGGCTAGGGGTTGGGTTTTGGTTTTCCTATATATATTTTGCTATTATTGGAGGAAAAAAGGAGAGGAGAGGGAGCCAATATTCTTGTAATTTAAGGTTAGCAGAGGGCGTAGTCTAATTCAAGAATATTGTACAAGAGGCGAGGGTTTTGTAGTTTTTATTCGTGCAAAATATTAAAATATTAGGAGAGGGTTTTGCAGTCTTTGTTCGTCCAATAGATTGTAAAGAGTGGGTTTTGGAGATAATATGAGAGTTGATTATGTATGTGAGGTTGAAAGATTGAGGGACGAGAGTTGAGTAGTTCCTCTTGTAGTTCTCCTTAGTAAATAGTTGATTTCTCGTATTGTTGCCCCGTGGATGTAGGTCAAAGTTAGTCGACCGAACTACATAAATCTCGGTGTTCCTTCTTCTTGATTGTGATTGTTTTCTATCTTATATGTAAGCCTAAAAATATCAACTAAAGCTAAACGTAACACACGTTTTGAACTAAAGGTAAAAGTTTTAGAACTGAAGGTAACAATTTAATAATTAAGGGCATAATAAACTGAAGGTTGAGGCAAAGGGGTTCATGGATTCATGTTGTCCCACCATGGACGCGAAGAGAGGCGGCAGGAGACATCGATTTATTGTGAAAGGGGTTTATGGGTTCATATGAGAGAGAAAAAATAAAAAAGATAATGAAGAGGTAGAAGATATGGGCACTTTGGGGAGTTTAAAATGCACATGGGCTAAAGGGGAAGAGTGATTATTGAGACCTCTAAACAAGGGGGTTGAGGCAATTTTCCTCAAATTATAATATCCAATTTACATGCAATTTATTACAGTATTGTGTTAAAAAGTGGAGTTTCTGATGCCTATATTTCATGAGACAAATAGATATCTCTTCTATTTTTAGGAACATCTATGCTTCTGCAATTCGATTCTTTGAACTTGCGATTCTGTGATGGCTTTGGTGTGTGACATGATAATCAAGTTTTGATCTGGTTCATCCTTACTTTTGATGGCCATATTTGATACTTACAAATTACTAACTTCTATTGCAGAAACTTTGTGAAATTTTTCAAAAAAACCAATACCCTACAAGGGCAGAAAAAGAAAGCCTAGCAAAAGAACTTGGTCTCACTTACCAACAGGTATAATTTAATATTTTATTTTCACCTTTTACAGATAAATAAACATTGCCATTTCCTGTGTTTCTATACTTACAGGTGCAGAGATGGTTTATAAATTCACGACATAGCTTTTGTGCGCCTACCAAGGAAGCTTCTCCTAATGAAGTCCCCTCAGCAAGTAACGATATTGCTGCTACCAACGAGAATACTAAATGCATTAATGAAGTAGGTAAAGACGGACAGGAGGCTGTAGCTCGTCAATTACTGGTATGTTATGTTCAGGTCGAAGAATCTTACTGGCCAACTTATTATAATTATCAATTTAATCATGAAACTAACTTAAATGTCATAACAAAAAAAGTTCCATTTTTGTAAATAATTATTTCAATCTTTTTGTTGGACATGTATGATGTCGAGGCACTCAGCAGTAGCATGTTAGTTTGGAAATTAAGTAGCTTCCTCCAGGTTTTAAATGTCATTTTCCTGATTTAACCAGATACATAGTCAGCCATGCTACTAACATTTATATGCACTGCTTCATAGAGAGAATAATTTTTTTTGGATTGATTTCATGTATTTTATTAAAGGGAAGTTGTGTTTCATAGAAGGTTATCTTAATCAGGATAATGTTCGTTAAGCTTTTCTATACTTTTGTGTAGTTTGTATTCTCAAAGGCAGCTTTGGGAAATTAGTTTAACATATTGATCAAGAATTGAATTTTCTTCCATGTTTTGTCTGATTAGTTGATGTTTGAATGATGACCTGAGTATTTCACTTATCCGCTGCTATAAAAAGTGGTTTATTGACATGACTTTGATTGGCTTTCATTGCAAGTCCACTTTCATTTTGTTGTCATACTTTAAAGGAACTACTGAAAAAGTTATGTATCTGTTTTGACTCTTTGTAGCATACTTTTCAGGATGACATGTTATACATGTATAAATGGAAAATAACTTTTGGATAATATGAGTTTTATTTGGTCTGTTTATTGCAGCATGCCTAACTTTTGTTTTAACCATTTGAGATAAAAGCACAGCAATCTTCTTGTAACTCCTCTCTAGTATTATAGTAGAAGTTTGCCTATGCACACTAGCTATAGCCCAAGAGCGTCTACCATGCAATTAATTGTGAATTGCGTTATTTGTTTTTTCTCTTATTATTCATTATTCATTATTCATGTTGCCACTTTTTCCTTAGGAGAGCTAAATGTGCAAACCTTACCTATCATAAATGAATGCCTGCATATTCATTGTCTTCTCATTTCATGTTTCTCAGACCAACTCCTTCAGTTTCAAGTTTGTTATATCAACTCTATGTGTCTAACATTTTTTCCTCCACAACACGAACACACATACGTATATATGTGTGCGCGTGTGTATATACATAATCTTTTATATTGTAGGAAGCATATGGAATTTCATGTTCAGATTCAGGTGGTGATGAAGACTGGTATAAATTAGTTGATATGAATATGCCATATATAGGAGAGGAATATGCCAACCGAAAAGAGCATGACGTACCAACAAAAGGAAATGCTCGAACTGTGAAGAGCTATGAAAATTCTGAAAATGTTGTAGGCATGTCTAGTGAGGTTGATGCAGGAAGAGAATCAGTGATTGATCTTCCACAGGTTTCACATTTTCAAGAAACTGCTCCCATAAAGGCACATCCAGCACCAGACATATATATATATATATATATATATATATATAGATACACGTTGTAATTTGTCATCATCTTCATCATCATCATCTCCTTTCTAATTTGGTTCTTTTCTGGAGCATGACTGGAGTGGAAAAAAGATCTCTTTGAAGGATTGACCCTTTCCCCCGACCATGTACCCGACTTAGATCTTCCAGTATTTGGCAGGAAATTCTTAATCCAAGTAATTATGAGCAAGAAAGGGGAATATCATAGAATCTGCTAGGTAGAACCCATATCATAGAGTCCGCTAGGTAGAACCCAGACCTATGAGTTGAATGCACTTGACTAGGGGCATTATTACTTAGTTAAGAAATTTGATAAAAGATAATAATGGTTATGCTTTTAATAATTCTAATGTTCAATTTAATTGCAATATGTTACAACCTTGTTTTTAAAAGTCATGTTTCTGATGCCCATAGCTATACTACTATATTAAAAGGCAAAGAACACAATTTTGAATGATTGGTGGACATGCCCCTTTTTTTAAATTGTAACTACAGGGGAAAGTTGTTATTTTACAAAGAGTGAGAGAGAACAAAAAAGGTTTTTACTAACACATGCGCACTCTATACAATATGAAATTATTTACCATATTTTAAAAAGGGTTTTCTGACATTAATCCTTTAAATATTTCATATATTCAAATTACTCCCTCAAATCATTGAAATTGCTTCTAGATCCTTAATTTCTAAGTTATTTCAACTAAGAGTTTCCGTAGTAACTAGATGGATTAATTTGAAACAAGTGATGAGAGGGAGTCCTAATAGCAATTTCAATGATTTGAGGATTAATTTCAAATTTTGCAAATAGATTAATGATTTTGTAGACTAATTTTATAATAACTTTCACTATTGAGAAATCTAATAGTAACTTTGTTTACTTGAGAGGCTAATTTCAAACTATGATAGATTTAAGGGACTAATATAAAAAACCCTTAAAAAATAAAAACATGCAACAAAAACATGGTTTCATTTCGCGTGCATTTACACATTTCTAGTACTATTGTATAAAGGAATTAGTGGGGGTAGAAAAAGTTGGAGGAATGGAGGACATGTCCTCAATTCCAATTGTATTTGGGAGGGGTAATTTGTAATGTCATATTATACACATTTTCCCCTTTCCTTTCATTTCTCTTTCCTTTTTCTAGAACATTCCTAATCATAACAAGAGTATATAACGACAACTAAGGGTGCACAAAATATCTGTACCGTATCCATTAGGATACAAGTATGGTATCTATAAAAGATATAATATAGTTACGAATACAAGATATGTAATGAATATCTGTATTCCTATTCGAAATATCCAAACATATGTTGGGCATTGAGTTATAATCGTCTTAATCCGTGGATTGATGGATTTGAGGTTAATTTTGATGATCAAGAGATTTAACCTTAGCTTTTCAGATATAGCGAACACATCAAGTAACTCTCTTTTGTCGTATGAACTATATTGTTTTAATATTATATGAGCTGTATTTTTTTAATGTTAAATGATTTTCTAATATCCATTTTATATACCCATGCATATCCCCGTATATACGCATTTATATCCGTATCTATATCCGATTTTAGCGGGTTTGGATGAGTTTTCATTATTGACACCTATTCATATTTGTATACGAAATTGATAAGTGGATATGGATGTGATAAATATCATATCCGAGCTGTGTCCGAACCGTTTGCTCCCCTAACTACAACTCACTAATTAAATATCTCTCACATTGAATGTTACAAGAGATAAATATGAAACAATGAGTTCTTTTTAAAAAAGATCATTAAATATAAATAAATATAAATACAACAATTAAAATTTTGATTTGTGTTCTGGTATAAATATCATCAAAAGTTAAAATATATCTATACACCTAGCTGAAAATAATCACATATAACAAATTGAAGATAAAATATGAAAATATCTAAAATGTTATTTGAGATTTTATTGAAAATTATCCATCAAATTGAGATTCACCTTAATTTCTTTTTTGAAATTAAATTAGGTCATCACTGAAATTGAAATATATGTCATAGCTAATTTTGAATAATGTAATATAAAATGATTCTACATCAAATGAACAAATACCGGAAAAAGGTCTTTAAAAAAATTGAAACTTTAGTGTATTAAAGTGGTTCTTTTTATTAAAATATTAAGGTAATTAAATTTTAATGTGTTGCACATGCATTTGCACGTGTAATAATGCTAGTATTCCATGAGGTAAATATCTTAGCTTTCAGCCTCTACTGTTGGATAGTGCCTAGTCATACCTTTCCCATGTTCTGGAAACTATGCATTATGGGTACATCTATCATGAAGCCATACTCGTAGCAGACACCAATGCTTCCTTGGACACCCCTTGGATGTGAACATACATATTCCATTGCTTCTTGAGTTATATAAAACATGTTTTAGTTTAACACAATCATTCTTGGATTATATCCTACTGTTGATATGCACTTTATGTATATTATATATTGATACTTGAGATATGTATTTATCTTAATTTATACACCAAGGACTATAAGTGAAAATGATATAAATTATTGACTTGTATGAAGTTTAGATAGTTTCTTAAGGATCTAACTTTTGTATAAAATTAGAGGGCTAAGTCATAAACATGTATGGCAGGTTAAAAAAAAACATAAGTGTAATAGTTATATGTTTTTATTTTCAAAAATAATAGTTTGGATTCCTGAAAGCATGAATATGTGTGTGTGTATGTATATATATCTCAAATGCATTTGCACGTGCAATAATGCTAGTATTCGTACATATATATAGCTGACAGCCTATTTTGCAAAATGGGCTGGCAATCCTATGCCATGTGAAATCCCTGCTAATCACATCGGTGTGAGGTTCACATTGCGGTGGATTGACTGCCTATTTTGTAAAATGGGCTGTCAGCTGATAGCTAGTTTCCTCTCTCTATATATAATCATTTGGTGAGACCTATCTTGCTAGTCACATCAAAAGGAGTGGATGTTACCACTCTTTCTTGGTAGCTCAGCAAAATGAGCCTCCACCTCATATCTATCATTCCCGTGTGTGTGTGTGTATATATATATATATAGAGAGAGAGAGAGACAGAGAGAGAGAGATGGATTTACTTGGTACGAAGCACACAAACTTGGTGATCGGTAGTTAGGTGACTCATTCTCATCCACTCATTCGAAGGGTCCCCACTTGAAAATAACTACCCCTTAATTATGCAACTCATGTGCACCTGGCCCTCCTTTTAAGAAGTGAATGAGAATCAGTCACATCACTATTAAGTACCAAGTTTGTGCTTAGTACAAAGCATTCACATATTTCATGTATATTGAATATCATGTTTGTGTCGCCACACCCTACAGTTTGAAGATTTTCCTTATCCCGTTTCCAAACCCATGTCGTGTCAGTGTCCACATCTGTCCCTTATCAGCTTTCAAATTCTTTGTCCAACAAATTATGACCAAGAGAAGGGATTTCCAAAGAAATCTAGTGTATGAGGAGGTCTACTTGCAAACTCATGATATCAGATCAAGGTGGGGAGTTTCCAGATTAGATAGGAGAAGACTCGGACTTACTATCTGGCTTTACTCATATTATGACATGTATATCTACTTGTAGACTATCTGAAGGCATTAAGGTAGATGTTGCTTGTACTATCAGTGATATCTCTGCTTTTGCAATTGATTGTTTGAGCTTTCATTTCATTGATGGCTGGCATGTGGCTCACAACCCAAGTTTGATTCTAGTTATTGCTTGCCTTCGATGAATATATTTGATATTTACAAATTACTTTCTCCTATCGCAGGGGCTTCACGAAAGTTTTCAAGAAAATCAATACCTTACATGGCAGAATAAAGAAAGTCTATCACAAGTACTTGGTCTCACATACCAACAGGTATGATTCAACATGGGCTAATTGTGGATAGGCCCCCAGTGCTATCGCCCAATTGCGTACATACACCTGTAGTTCTTTTGTTGCAGTTAGTCAGATAGACCCCTGACTGAGCTTTTTCTTTTTCTTTTTAATTGTTTTACCCTCAGAGAAAGAGAATTGTTTTTTGACAAATAGACCTCCTGAGTGTAAAAGAGTCAAAAAATTTTCACTCAGGGGTCTATCTGTACAGGGGTCTATCTGCAATTTACCCTTTAACATTTCATATTGGCTTTTTACTGCTAAAAATATCACCACTAACTTCCTGCGTTCAACACTTTACAGGAGCATGGATGGTTTATGGGTTCACATAGCATTTGTCTTTCTACTAACGAAGCACCACTTAATGGACTCCCCTCACCAAATAAAGATAATTCTGCCACCAATGAAAATATAAGAGGCATTAATCTTAATTATAGTGGTGGCAGTATCAGTCCGATGTATGCTACCGAAGGAATTAAGAGAAAAAACCCAATATCTGATGAACAACTAAATGTTGGAGATGAGCAATGCAGCATGAGCAAAGTAGATAAAGAGCGGGAGAAGGCTGTAGCTCGTGAACTGAGGAAGATGAAAAAACGCAGATAGGCAGCCATTGAGTGGTTTGATGATGAAATCTTTCTAGAGTCAAGGATGGTGGGTTTTTTCTTTTTTTTTTCACCAATGAGGAGCATTTTGATGCATCATTTTGAGCATTCTTAAAACGCTTAGAAAACCCATGTGAATCTTGATACAGAGAACTGTTGCTTTGGGCCAACTACTTAGTATTATAAGATGCATATTTCCTTGTTCATGGTTTCCCTGGAAGTTGGTACATGATGCAGCAATGGATTTGCATTTGAACGTGGAATATTCTCACTTGTGTTGCTTCGTTCACGAAAATTGAACTGCATGAGGACCAGGGATTTGTTCATACATTTGGTTTTCTGTAGTGAAAACAGTTGTATACAAGCCCAACGCTGCCGTGCTGATGGTCGTCGTATTATTAATGCAGAATTTAACGGTCGTATTGTTAATACAGAGTTACGCTTGTTGAGAATTTTAATGGTTGACGCTTCGCTGTAACATCTGCATTTGTCCCACGTTGTGCATTCACAAACAAGCGTCAAACAAGCCTCCGCCCACCTTTTAAGCTCTTATTGCTGTATTGTCACGATAAAAAATTAAGTACTCAATTCCTCACTAGGTACTCGACTCCACATAAGTGCAATAATGGAAAGGCTAAATATCAGGAAACCCTTCCCGTTTAGATGATTATTAGATAACCCTCCATAATTTTCAAAATATCAGAAAGCTCCCTTATGTTAAAAATTATCAGAAAACCCCCTCTAACTTTTAGAGCTGATAAAAAAAAAAAAAACCTTGGAGCATCTATGGCGATTTTTCACATGGATGAGTAAAATCATGCAGGCGGTGGATATTGAAAGAGATTTTTTCTTATAACCCTTACCGTTTTCTTTTTGGAGAGGAGGGCTTGGGGGGTTGGGAGGGGAGGGGTCGTAATATTTCGAGGGTTCCTTAAAGGGACTTTTCTAATATTTAGTCTAATAGAATCCTATCATGAGGAGGGCTTGGGGGGTTGGGAGGGGAGGGGTCGTAATATTTCGAGGGTTCCTTAAAGGGACTTTTCTAATATTTAGTCTAATAGAATCCTATCACTAGTCTATTACTAGCTATCCCGCTATCCCGGACGAAGCCACGCATAGCTAACGCTACCGTTGAGGCTGCACCACATCAATCGACCACTTGGCAGATAGACGTCGCTACGTAGCAAGCTACCTGACTCGCTTACCAGCCACTACAAGTTCGAATGAACACCCGCTCTATTGTAAACAAACAACGTCTTGCAAGCAACCTGAAAAGGCAGTCCCGAGCTACGCTCTATTGCTAGCGCAACCATCGCTTGCTCACAAGCTCATATAAAGAAAGGTAGTGCACGTGTCCCAGAGCCAGAGTATATCGTTAACGTTGTCGTTGGGGCCACTGCACACTCCTGCAATACCTTTTCAGGCGGTTGGGCGAGCTAGGCGTGCGTATACTTAGCAGGCAGGGTCGTCGGGCCTCTACTCTATCTACATCTACTCAATTATGGATGTTATATGAACATAGCAAGAGTATAGCAAGCTACTTATTAATATTAACATAAGAGAAAAAGTACGTGCACTAGCAACAGAACCAGACGTTGACGACGTTGCAATCGCCTTGTAAACAACCTGCACACTGATCCACTATAGCTTACGCAATAGCAATAGCTTGCTATATTACTCACATTTATTGCTTGCAATAGAGCGTATATGGGTTGCTAGCTATATACTGCTATTCCACCAGGGATGGACGTAAACTCGTAAGCTACCGAGGCTAGGGATAATCGTCCAGGCTACACAAGCCAGCTGATCACTTACAGCACAGCATAGTGTTTTCGTCTTTCAGTATTTGAAGCGCCAGTAGCAGTAGGTAGGGCCCGGTCGCCTTTGGTACAAGTACCTGACAGCTGGTTCTATCTCCACCCCTTGACGAGGCATTCGTACGATTGAACTGAGTGGTCGAACTACTTGTAACTGCGGATGGGCACAGTATGAATGAAACTTGCTTTCTAAAGCCCCAACCAACCGAGGCCCCAATCGTAACCCGACTGACTGGTTAAAACCCTATAAATCGAGATCTAGGGAGAAGAGAAATAGAAATCGTAACAAGTTGGAGGTAATGAAGGAAGGGAAGGTGGGGAAGGAAGCGAATGGAGTCTTCCTTCTATATCTAGACTAAGTAGTTTTCACAACGGAGTCTTACTGAACCGCCGGGATTGATATGAGACTACGGTTCAAAGCTTCCGAACGAACTAGCTAGATCTAGATCTGCTGAACCTGAGGCATAAGGAAAGAAGCAAGCTTGGATGAAAGCTTTGCCGGCGAACCAGGAGCAGCTACTGGCTTTCGCTCTTTTTTTTAGAACAGGGATAGCAGGGAGAGAAGAAAGAGGAAACCGAAGTGACTCTAGCCTTAGGGTGACGGAACCTAGTTAGGGAATGAAAGTAGTGACCCTACCAGGACTGAGGGCGCGGGGTGAGACAAAAGCAAGGATTGAACTCTCACTCTCAGGAATGAAACCAGTGAAGTGCCCCTAACAGGCGTTGGGACAGGAGCCGAGGTTTTTTAGCGTAAGGGATAGAATGTGTTTTCTATTTCGTTAGCAGAGTCAGATGAAAGCCCAGGCAAGCAAAGAAGTTTGGCATTCTTCGGAAGGCCAAAAGATCGTTTGTAGCTTTCTTCGGTAAGGGGCTTTTCTTTGCAGCGGCTTTCCCAACGAAAACTTCTGTTGTTCCGTATTTGGTGTGTACCAAAGCAGCAAGGGAAGTGGTAATGGTTGGAGCAGAGGAAAGGTCAGATTACGCTTTCACCCTCGGATAACGAAACTAGTGACCCAAACTAGGGTAGGGTTAGGGGTGCGCTTCGCATTCCTCTCTTCCCGTTAGGCTAGGGCAGTGAGCTCGGTTCCGTTCCCAAGTAGCTCCGGGGAAAGCGTTGACGAAGAAAATGTGATTATAAAAGAAATCTCTATAGCTATAGAAGGAATCTGCGGCTGATTCAGAGTAGGTTTTGCCTATTCAAACACAAACTTCAAGTGAACTGAAGAAGTTGCGTTCCCTTTTGTATGTCTGCCCATGCAAGCGTCCCAAGCAAGCCAGCCGATATAACTAACTCTTTCTCTTGTTATAGCTCGAGTACCTTCATGATGGAATGCCGAGAACTGTTGATGTGCCTGTTGCCCGAGATGTACTTGCCTTTGTTTGCGTACCTAACAAACAAGCAGAGAATGTTGCTCGAGATGTACTTGCCTTTGTTTGCATACCAAACAAACATAGAGACGAAAGGATCAAACATTGATGCAAGATCTAATATACCTAGGCTGAAACTGACTTGACGGTGCATGTTTACTCCAATGGATGGCTGAAAGACAAGAACTTAACATTTTTTTCCTTAATAGCCAGTAGCGGCCACCAGGCCTGGAGTTTTATTTGGCTAGTATTACGCCAAGGTTCCTCGCAGCAAAAGGAAAAAAAAAAATGAAGGCACTCAGGGAAGATTATGCCAATAGTCAACAATGCTCTAAGATTTATCCTGTATATCCTTGTTATCAATAGGAGAATTTCAGTGATCTGCTTGAGTAGGAAGAAAAAGTTAAAAAACTTTTAACACAATGTTTTCAGTTATGAATGTTAATGTTACATTTTACTTAGTTGAAGAGGAGACAATCAGGTGCAAAAACTTGAGCGTGGAGGAGACTGGTAATACAACAAAGAAATCATAGTAAAGAATGTTGGGACAAACCCGGGGTCCAATAGAGCAAGGTCGCAGCAATAGTAGAGCAAAAGTAGAGATAAAAAATTAGACACACAGATTTACGTGGTTCGGCACTTGATTGCCTACGTCCACGGGCAAGGATAGAAGAATCCACTATGAGGAGAAAAACTCTGGAGTTACAAGCTCTCTCTCTTTACAAGGAGAAACTCTCTCTATTTTTTTTTCTCTCTCTTCTATATAAGAAGTTGTTTCTGGGATGAGATTTTCTTAAGGATTTGGAGCCTATTTATAGGAATTTAAAAAACACTATACACAATAAAATATTAATATTTTACTATGCTGTGGGACCCGTCATTTTTGTTTTCTTTTTCCTCTTCAAACTTTGCTGCTGCTTCTTTCGGTGATTTGAAGTGAGGTGTGGTCCACTCCAATTAACTGTCAACATTTGAGGCTGAGGCTGCATGCTGACAATTTCTCACTTGAAGATTTGATTGAGTATTAATCATATCTTCACATCATTTTTTCTATCTTACCATCTTCATGTTGCTTTACGTCTCCGTCAGGCCACAAGAGGATCTACACCAAATAAATTTATCAGTATGTACTGCTTTTGTTAAAAAATCAGCTAGGTTATCTTTGGTGTGAATTTTCTGCATATCCACTGTTCCTTCTTTCACTTTCTCACGAAAGAAGTGATACTGAACTCGAATGTGTTTGGTCTTTGAATGAAAGGCTGGATTTCTTACCAAATGCAAAACACTCTGACTGTCACAAAATAGAGAAATCTTCTTTTGTTCATACCCGAGTTCCTCCAGCACCATCTTCAACCACATCGCTTCTTTACTGGCTTGTGTAACTGCTACATACTCTGCTTCTGTTGTTGAAGTAGCCACAACTGACTGCAGTTTTGAAACCCAGCTTACAGCTCCGCCAGCAAGTGCAAACACATAACCTGTGGTGGATTTGCTATTGTCACGATCACCTGCATAATCAGAATCAACATATCCACTGACAATAAAATCAGATCCCCCATAACATAATGCAACATTTGAGGTTCCCTGAATGTATCTTAGAACCCTCTTTACAACATTCCAATGCTCTTTACCAGGATTCGCCATGTATCGACTAACCACTCCCACTGCTTGTGTAATGTCTGGTCTTGTACAAATCATCGCAAACATTAAACTTCCCACTGCTAATGCATACGACACTCGAGATATCTCCATCCTCTCTTCTTCACTACTAGGACTCATACTGGAGGATAACTTGAAATTAACAGGAAGTGAGGTGAAAATTGACTTACAATCTTGCATGTTAAAGCGTCGCAAGATTTTCTTCAATAGTTCTTCTGAGAAAGCCAAATCTTCCTATTAACTCTGTCTCGGTAAATTTGCATCCCTAGAATCTTCCAAATCTTCCTATTAACTCTGTCTCGGTAAATTTGCATCCCTAGAATCTTGTTTGCAGATCCTAAATCTTTCATTTCAAATTCCCTATCTTGT